ATAAAAGAATCTGTCTACAGCTCTTTTAAACTGTGTGCTTAACACTAACACCAATTCACCTACTGAGGAAAGGCTGAACCTTCACTCTGGTAAGCACAGAAAAAAACTTAAATCTTTCAAAACTGTCCAGCAATGCCTGTTTTTAAGATACATGACTAGAGAGATAGTACCAGCATTATGTATTTTGGATGCAACTGAAATCCTAAGTAGAATGGCAGGGAGAGTGCGGAAAGAGACAAGTTACTTATTTGGATGAAGTGAATAAGCCAGTAAGTAACTTTCAACCACATAAAACAGCACTGCCACATGCATCTCAATGACCAGTTCATTACCACACTGGGGTAAGCGCAAGATCTTAAGTTACTGAGAATGACATACATACTTCCATATATACTTCTATATATGCTTACTTTGCAGCCCCATGCCTATGGTGGGAATCTCTGACTAATGGCTGTGTGGGCACCCTTTTGCAGGAGTCGGGCCCGGGCAGCAACCCCCGCCAATGCCAGCGGGGCAGGAAGGGCTCCCTCCGACCCTGGTACCTGGACGGAGCCCTGACAAACTTCCTTCAAATGCTCAGTAGAGACCAGAGTTGCTACACGACAGCCGAGAGCTGCTGCTATAGAGCATCTGTGAGGCCATGGATATCGATGTCAGGTAGTTGGTTTTTTTCCTTAACTAACTATGGTTTTTTCACTGAGAAATGAGTTAAGGAATATAAAGCTTCATGTCTGAAAAATAAGAAGCCCACCTAAAGAAAGTATTTAGTAATCTGAAAAAAACTTCTATTAAAATGTTATGATTTAAAGAAGTGGATAATAGTAAAAACAAAATTAGCAACTTTTCTGAATCATAAAATATTTAATAAGGTATATTTTGGGGGGGATATATTGTATATAAAATTTCAGATCACAATATGAAGCGATTTGAACCCTCTCCAAGCTAGCACTGCCCTCAATGCTGTGTAGATGTTTTGCCACTGATACAAGATCTACTAAAAGCATACAGTTTAACTAATACAGAAGTGGCTTTTTTATATGAAATATTTTTTACACAACTAGAGTGTCTTGAATACCCTCTTTAAGTGCAAAAACCACAGATCACTTTACACTAATGCAGCAACAATGCATTCATATTGTTCTCATTAGTCATTAGTAGTCAACTTGCATAAGATACAAGAAAAGCACAATGAAGCTCACAAAAATAGACTAAAAATCAGCCTGTTCGCCTGTTCTTGCAAAAAAATACAGCATAATAGAAGAAAAAGACAAAAAAAGGATTATGCACACCACAGAATTTGCTGTTCTTTAATCCAGCTGGCTTAAGTGCTGTTTCTGGTTTTTTGCTGTTTTTTGTGGGTTTTTGTTTTGGTTTGGGTTTTTTTTTTTATAAATCAAACCACATGGACCAGGCACAACTAATATTCAGGAGGCAGTGTGTAGCTAAAACTTCACTAACTTTTTGTCATCCCCACAATTTATTTTCCTCTGTCCTGAGGTAGTTACAAAAAAACAAATCGTAAATTAAGCATCAGCTAGGCCAGTAAGAGCTGAGGCTTTTCTTTTTCTCTTTAAAAACTATTTGTTAACTGGCCAAAACTACCCTTGATGTTAAAAGACAGCCAAGAATTAGAGTTCTCACTACACCAAAAAGATGGCTAGGAGGGGAAGAGGGTTAGCTGCTTCAAAATATATTGAGTCCCATCAAGTTGGCTGGTCCACTGTTGAATTTCCCATGTTTATTCTCCTTTACTCTATAAAGTCACTGGGAGAAGTTCAGAAGGATCTGAGCACATCATCGTCCTTTACTGTAACCAGGGAAGAACTGGTCCAGTAGTGTCTGCAGTATCTTGTTGGGAACCATGGTGTAGCCCTTTCCTAGGTCATAGCGGCAGGCAGGGCAGGTGAAGACTTCAGCTCTGAAGGAGCGCTGTAAACAACTCTAGGACATACAAACAGAAATAAATTGTGAGAACTTTGTTTTAGACTGACAGCTTAACCAGCAAAAACTAAGGAATCACTATAAACCAAAGACGCAACCCGCTGTACTACCAGAAACAAAGAAGAACCACCAAGCCATCTGGCACCTCTCGCCTCTGACTAAAATGTCCTAAAAAAGGAACTCTGCGTTGGGCTGGGATATGAAACATTGAGCTTGGCAGGAATAAAAACAAATCATCACTACTGAGATTTCCCCTACATTTCCACTGGCACCTTCCTGTCAATCACAGCCATGTTTACAGCTTCCTTCTCGCTTCACAGTTAGATTGCTACAGTTTTCCAGACCTTCATTTCAAGAGGAAGGTGAGTATACCAAGTATATTATTTATGTAACAATCTCTGCCTACCTCATCAGATGAGGTTCAGTTAAGCCTTAAAAACATATGTAGAATAATACAACTTCTAACACGTTAGCATCAGTGCTGTCCTCCTTACTGTGTTACCACAGGCGGCAGATAGCCCAAGCATGTGAGCTGCATATCAGAAATTTATCAGGGCAGATCTGTGCCCGAACAGCAACAGAGGCTTACTATCAAACTATTCCTTACAACTTTAACTGGATGTTATTTTGTATATGAAAATATTTACTGGCATCTTCACATTCTGTGCTTTCCAAGTTTGTTGCCATTCAGCTTTCTCTTTTCCATGGTCTTTTAAATATTAACCCTTTCATAATACTTTTTATGGTTTTTAAGGAGCCATAATCATTCCATGTGTGCAGGCAATCCATAATAACACAGTGATTTTTAGGGGAGTGATAATGTATCTTCTTGAACAGCAAACTTGCATTAACAGATAATTGTACTGGGTTGATAATAGTCTGAGTCCCTTCAGGCTCTTAGGTAGAAATACTAGGTACGGCAGGCACAGTTCAAATACGCACAATTCAGCACATGATTCTGTACAAACTCGTGCTACAAAAATTAACTCTAGTACACACTGGATTCCAAACTCCTAACATTAAAGCAGTATAGAATCGGTTTGCTTGGAACAGACCTCCGGGATCATCGAGTCCAACCTTTGCCCTAACACCACCATGTCAACTAGACCATGGCACTAAGTGCCACGTCCAGTCTTTTCTTAAACACCTCCAGAGATGGTGACTCCACCACCTCCCTGGGCAGCCCGTTCCAATGCCTAAAGGATTGTATCCTATAGGATACATGAGTTATAAATTGACTTCTGTGGCCCTCCTACGAAACATACTGCCAAGAATAACAAGATAACATAACTTACTCCAAATAAGCCCCAATAATTTTCTTGTATTTACCATGCATCCTTTCCACAACTCTTAATAACTGTTACACAATTACAAAATCTGGTTTTATTCCTTAACTATTTAAAATTAAATTGTTGTTACTGTACCAACATCTAGCTCCTGGACCAAACCAATTCCGAGTGTAAGTACACTATTCACAAGGGAATGACAGCAGTACTAAACTTGACTCATTATGTCTATCAGGAACTATACTAAACATACTTCCAGTCTGCATTACATCAAATTAAGGCTACACAGCAATCACTGAATGCAAATTCGTTGGATGTTTTTGCTCAGAATGTTAGGCAATAATTATTGTCTTTCTAAAATACATATAGCTTTGGTGACTGATATCTCAGAGCCAAGAAAACAGCCCAAAGCACGATCGAGTTTATTCTTACTTTACAGACGTTGTGGAGGCACTCTGTTGTCACTGGCTGGTAAACTAGCTCCTGGCAGCAGACACACATAAAGGATTGTTCCAGTTTCTTCAGAAAATTCTAGTGTAGGGCAAAGGAATACAAAAGACAAACTCTATTACAGTTCTTGTAAATGCCACTTATTACATAAAGATGATGAACTTCCAGAAGTTCTTAAGTCCTCCATACCCATGACTGCAGCTTTCTAAAAGTAATCAGGAAGCTGGTCCGTAGCTGCTTAATTTCCCTGCTCTTCTACAAATCAGAGAACTAATGTTTTAAAGATTATTTACTTGTTTGTATGAGTATTGTTGTAAGCAAATGAAACAGGCCAGAGGGCCTCTCATGCCCGATTCTTAGCTTAGGTCAGAAAATCTAGCCATTGTGTTTAGTAACTGCTGCTAGAAATTTGCATGTCCGTGAAAGATCTCTGCTTCTCTGCAAAGGGAACTTCTGCACCTCCTCCTGTGCTTACAGATTATAGCTAGCTTAATGGCTTCTTCTCTTCCAAGGCCAAATTCTCTGCAGTGTGTAAATCAACCTCCCTGGGTTTTAAATCTTCTCAGGGTACCTCTGAGGAATCTCAAGACACATCTGTACCAGGTGTTTTACACACACAAGCATGCTTATGTCTGGCAAATATCTCAAGAATACAAGCTTGGATATAGAAAGAAAAAAAAGCAGATCGACAAGTAATCAAAATATGATTCTTTGTAATAATTTTTAAAATACCAGATTTACCACATACTTCGCTTTATTTAGTTAAAAGGGCAGATGACTGTGTCAAGCAGAAAGATTTACATTTTCACAGTAGTGACCCAAAGCTGCCAGTGATTCCCACTGCCTTCAGTGGTAATCAAATGGAAATCTTACCAAAATTATGGGTAGGAATCTGTAGAAAAATGACTTCTCAGTAACTCAACCACTTTTAAATTACTGTTTCTCCTTTTTACAAAGAGGTATCTCTATTGCCTGTCATTATGCACAATTTTAAGAGTTGAAATTCCTTCTAGTCCTTACAGACATTGGATAGAAGACAGATAACAATGAATAACTTTACACAGTTCCTAGACAAAGTCAACTACAGCAGCGTTGGAAGTGGAAGAACAGGGAATTATAGATGCTTTTTCTGTTACAGAAGCACCATAAATAGCCACTGGTAATTCTCAAATAAATTAATTATGTATGTCTATTTTCAGATATCCATTTTCACACCAATGGTTTGTTTTTCACTGAGTTGAGTTTTATCATGCTATTTTAACCCCTTAGTGCCTTACTTCTTCTGCAAAACAGCTAAAATAACTACAAACTCAACATTGGTAAGACTAATTATCACTGAAAGACATAATATTTCAGGAGATAGTCCTTTTGTGGACTTTTTTTATGCTAGTGTCTATAGTCTCTTTAGTCTTGAGCTATTCTTGCTATTTTCTTGACATTTAGGGGGAGGAAAGTATTTTCTCTCTTACTTAAGGTTCCCTTTCTACAGAGTGGGATAATCTAGATTTGGTTTAAAATATTTTTATTTCATGTCTAAATTTGAAGACAAGGCTACAAAATACAGCAATCAAGCTGTATTTTCTGTCACAAAATTATTTTCTGTCTAAACAAAAAGTAGTGACTAGAACCATCTTTCTTCATGTCTGATTTCTCACATCAGCACAGCACAAAAATACATTTATAATTTCAGAGAAAACATGCTAACTTCAAAAATGAGAAGCAAAAAAAAAAGCCACTTCTAACTTAAAAATGTTTTTTAAGCAAGAAAATATCTCTATTATGCAGGAGTAAACCGAGCCATCAATAACAAATTGTAAAAGCAAGGACTATTTTCTTGAAATCTAAGTCTTACAAATAAAAATGATGCTAGACACAGTCTGTATTCAGCAGAAGGTCAACAAGTAAATTAATTTTTAAGAGAGACTCAAGATTTCTCCTAACTGTCTAAAGAAAAGGCAAACATTAAAAATTATGCATGCAGCAAACATACTGGTCCTTCCTTAAGAGAAGCAAGTACTTCATCCCACAGTTTCTGGTTCATACAGTCTTCTCTAATCAGCCATTGCTGCTCTTGTGTCAGCTGGAAAGCCTCTCCTTTCCCTCCATCTCCCATCCTCATGGCTTTGGGCGTATTCATAGGTTCCTCTATACCTGCTTAAGATCACGACCATCAGATGCAGTAACAAGAGTATTAGTCTGAACTAACAAAACTGTTTCTAGAAGGCTAAGATATGGATTACATTCATGAAAGGCAGCAATCAAATCCCTACTACAACTCATACTGGCTACCACTTAATTACAGAGCATGTGCTTATCAATTTACATTAGTATTCCAAATAACTTCACACTTCTGCAAAGTTTTCATGCTACTGGCTTGACAAACACAACATGACAGACTTCGCTGATGAATGCTAAAAAGTAAAAAGAAATACCATCATCAATTGTCCTTTTCTGGTTTCCGTTACTCTGGTTGGTTGGCTCCTGTTTCACCGTTTGCTTTTTAACCTTATCTTTCTTCTCCTTACTAGCCATGGCTTCCAAATAACCTTCTGGATACTAAAATAAAAAAGCAAAGATTTAAAACAAAATCCACTGGCATAAGGGAATTCCCAAATGCCAACAAGACAAATTTCCAGAAGACTTTAAAACCTGTGACTACATTTTGAAATAACTACAAAATAATTTTTAAAACCCTACATGATGGTCATAAGTTTTAAATTACTATCTACTATTAAGAAAGTGTAATCAAGTCAAATAATCCAATCCATATTTGATTGTATTAAAAGGAACCCAATATCCATATCTATGCCCTTACAACTACACAAATCAGTCAGACAAGTGGAAGATGATGGTATGCTGTAAGATACACCACTGTTTGGCTGAGAAAAGAAACAGTACGTTAATTCTTTCCATCTTTTATGGATTCTTCAATGCCCAAGTCCTCATGGGTCAGTATATTTTTGTGCCTGAAATACACTATCTATACAAACTCCTCAGTCACATGGACAGAAAAAGACATTAAAATGCACAGGTTTTTCAATTTCTCAGGCAGACTCAGCTATAACAATAGTTGCTTGTAGTAATTCTTTCCAGTCTAAGGATCACAAAACTGTATTCAAACTCTTAATTTTCCAATCCATATATGCAAAGCAATTCCTTGCTAAGCCAGAAAGCTTCATCCACCGTACCTTCTGCAGTGTCACTATTACAGGATTCTTTCAGTCTCCAGATAATCTGTAGTGGTTTTTTGGCATTAAATTCTGCCACAGTGAAGTATAAGGAAAAAAATGGGGCTTTAATTTAAATGATTTCTATTTCTAGAATTTGTTTTCTGGAACAGAGAATAAAAACAACTTTGTGAGTCCTGGTTCGAACCTGTACGCTCAGACCCAGTTTCTTTGACCGCTCCATTCCTTCCGAAGTCCAAGGTGCAGGCTCAACATCATCTCTCCTCAGAAGATAGCGCCAAACTAAAAATCCACATTTTCCAATTTCCGGCCAATATTTCACTACCTAAAGAACAATATAAAATTACTACCATTATTAAATCACAAGTCAAACACATGCATATAGTCATACTTCAATTGCTCAAGAAGAAATGAGAAGACTTAAGTTATACATTACTATTAGACAGCAGTTCTTCCCTCAGGTGCAAAATTTTTGTATTTTAGATAAATACAGTGCATTTAAAAGGCATACAACATTATTTCAGATGCTGAGAAGTCATTAAATGCACAAAAAGCTAGGATATAGTTTGAAAGAGTGAGGAAATAATTTGATTTCCAGGAATGAATATGACTCAGTAAGCATATACAAAATAGCTTACATATTCAACTTTATATATCCTATTATGGATTATGTTCTGTTATCACTGCTCTGAATAATTTCCTTTCTGTTCTTTGCAGAATAAGCTAAGGCTAGAAAGCTATCATAGAGGAAAAACTAATTATTTCTTTGAAGTAATAATGAAGAATTTGCATTGTAACACATATGAAACTTAAACATTAAAACAGCTGAAGAAAAACGTTATGTTGCACTCAGAAATCAGAATACCTTGTAAATGCCATCATATCTGTTGCCTTCCTCTGGGGCATATTTACTGATTCGTCGTCCTTTTGAACTGCGCACTACTCTGACTGGCTTACCAGCTCTCCAATTCTTAGACTCTGCTCCATTTTTGTCATCCAGTGGGGCATCACAGTTAAGGGCCAATGCCCTAGAAAAAGATTTAAAATCTTCATAAACTAGATTGCTTCACAGAACAGATTTTTGAGAATTAATGTAATTAAGGCATATCTAATTATGCTTTATCAAGCAGCATAGAACTTTTCAGTATATTCTTTAATAACTGCAGAACTGATGGAAGCAATGAGATCCATGCTACCATGTATGGTAAGAAAAAAAACGGGAACACAAAATATTTTGTTGTCAAGGATCCAGATGAAAACTCAGCTGATATTGCTAAATAAAACAAACCAATCCTTTTACATTTAATATTCTTCCTTTTAAAAACAATCCCTTCCTAAATAGCATTGAAGGAATTAAAAGAAAATTATAACAAAAGGCAAACTTACCCTATTGCTATTGCAGATTTTAAGGCTCTTTAAGTGTGTACACAAAAGTAATGAATATGATGAAAAACACTATAGAGAAAAAAGTACATAGTAACCACCCAAAAAACTCTAAGTGACTGAAATCTCTCACATAATACATAGATTGCCTCAGAGGAGTTAAATAATAGTAGCTGACGCAAGGACAAGAAAACCCCTTTATCCACTAACTACATGAAGATCCTCTTCTAGAAACCTGGAGCAAGACAATATGAATACCTACTAGACCAAGCTGCCACAACGGAAAGTACTTCTACTACCACAGACGGGTTTGACCAGGGATTGAAAACCCTTCAGAATCAGACTCAAACCAAACCATGGATCTCAGGATAGAAGAAATAATATGGTTTATAAACAGCCCACATTGTAAGAACAGTAACCGACAGGCATACAATGTCAATGTTAAAAATGTTTCTTATCCAAAACTTAAAAAAGGAAAAATACCTGGACAAGCAAAACCAAAGCCGATTCAACTACATGGAATCATCATAATCTTCAGTGTCAAAGTGCTTGAAAACTTCCATCAAAATCAGTAACTGGGGGTAACACCTTGTTGTACTCCATGCGCACTAACACCTGCAAAGCTACAAGGCAAGCTTTACCACTGGATTTCTCATTTGCTAAGAGCAGAGAAATGCTGAGACTAAGGAGTCCAGCTTTTAATTCTGTTTCACAAAGCAAGTTTGCTCAATTCACTAAATAGTCTTGTAAACCTATTGCTTAAACCTACTTCCATCTTCCTTCTCTCCTTGTTCTTGTTCACATCATGTCCCCTCTCTCTCCCCCTCCCTCCCTTTCTCAGCAGCCAAGCCAGGTTTTTCCTCTCCTCTAAGTACCACCAAAAAGCTTGAAAGAATCCCTGTCCACTCTGCTTGACAGGAGCAGATCATATCTAAAAGCAGACCTGGCAAAGAAAAGGTCTCAGTCAATCTCAGCACCCCATAGGTGTTAAGTGGTCAGTTGCATAACAGAGATTATGCTCTTAGAAACAGAGAGAATGGAGAACTCCTTGTTCAGGCAAGCTTTTAGAGGTCGTAAAAAAACTTTAAGCAGATGTCTAATCAATCTTTTGGACATATATTTTCTTTTTCAAGCACCTGTTTTTGATAAAGCAACACCCTAATTCCTTGGTTTTCATAGAAAACTATGATGGAAGAAAGGGCTAGCAAAATAAGAAAGTTTTCTTTCAGTATGGGAAAATCAACATGCTTTCTTCCTACTTAAATTTCATAACTGATTTAACCACTGAAGAAGAAACTTAAAAAGAAACACACAGAATAGAAAACTTCCATTCAAGAGTTTTGATGGACTTCTCGTTAAAACAGAGTCCTGTGAAGGAAATTGTAGGACAATTCAACCAGAGGTATGGCGACTAGCTGCACCAGCAATACAGCAATGTATTTCACTGAGCTGCGTGTTTCTTTAAATCAACAAAACATAACGCTTGATAAAATGCCTCTTAGCAGAAAGAGGCACCACTGTTTACAAAAGCAGCATGTACAGGAGTGAATAAATATAGTCAAATGTTACTCTAATTAAAGCACTCCAATCCAGCTCTTTGTTTTGGAATACTTTCTAATTTTATCTTCAAAACTTACCTATTCATGTGTGTTAATGTCTGATCAAATGAATGTTCTCCAATTCTTTTATTGCCGGAAAGATCTCTGCCTCCACTCCCAGTGTAAGTGAATTCATCTCCTCGATCCTGTGCAAGAAGATTATCCTTTGTTTTAACATGCCAAAGTAAAGCAACTGAATTAAAAAAAAATGCAATGTCATTTGTTCTATTTACTCAGACAGAGAAAAACTATAATCCAAGGCATGGAAAGATGTGTTTTCAATTTCAGCATCACTGTCCTTCTACAGTACTCATGCCAGCACAAAGCTACTAATCTGGATGTAACATATTCACCAGAAAATCCTTAGTAAAAAATTTCCTGCCTCAAAAATTTGGACTTTCGCATCTTTTAAAAAGCTATTTTGGTGGAAAAAAAAGACATTCTGAGCAAGGGAACACATTCTAGCATGTGGTTACTTGCTCTAGACCTTTCATTTAGTTTACAAGAACACCATGTTTGTAAAATACATAATAAATACCTTAGAGGGATCACTTCAGCTTCTGCAAGGGGCTAGGTGCCAGTAAGTACAAACAGCTTTGCCTTACGTACAAGACAGGTACTTTAGAGCAATAATAATCCCAGCTCTTCTGAACTAGCAAGAGCTTAAACTCATTTAGAGGCACATTTTGTAAGCTGATACAATTCTGCAGTATATTTCCTACATAGAATTTTCTTTAAATTGAAGGAAAATTGATAAAATCTTTTACCACAAACTGTAAAAGCAGTCAAAATCTACATACACAAATGTAAAGTCAGTATTACTATTTTCTTTAGGAAATATATCACAGAAATTCATATTACTACTGGCAAATTCAAGTATTCTGGAAATATATATATTCTACAACTATATTTAATATGATATCTCTTTGGAGATGCAAATTTTGTACAAAGCATGAAGCAATAGTAGAAGATAAATACTTAATAGGAAAATAATGTTTGTATGAATTTTCATAGCAAAAATCTGAACATACTTGTACGCAGTAGCAAAATTCAGTCAATTTCTTACCACTATTAAAAGTCTGACATTATTAAGGATCCAGTGCAAGACTGTTACAGATATTTCATGACTGACAACAGCAGAAAAGAGAAAGTTAGAAGGAGAAATGCTGGTTGAACAAGGCCATAGATTAATTATAGAAATTATGTTTATTTTATTCTGTGTAGTGAAAACCTAACAGAAATTCAGCTGCAGTATTAGAGTATTTCTCATTCAATATTTATCTAGACATAATAAAAAGCAAGTGCTATGAAGTTAAGAAAATACTCAAAACCTAACAAAGACATGTATAACCTCTGGTACATCCTTTCTTAAAACAGTCTACTTACTCTATTCAATGAACCTCTAAAAATAACAGAAATAGAATGATGTACAAGGACAATATATGAAACAAGAATGAAAGACTGACAAGAGAAGAACTATTTACTAAGAAAGGACACAGAATAAATTGTATAAAATAAGGTATCACAGAAATGAGCTATGTTTAATTTTTCAGTGATTGTCAAGGCAAACAAAATGTGCAGACCACACAAAGATGATTGTGATAATAATAATATGAATAGGGATGGATTTGCTTGACGAATCAGGCCCATTCAAACAAATTGCATTTTAACACTGAAAAGGAAGCTTGTGCCAAGTTCAGAAAACCAGAAAGATATACCTTCAAAAGTCATGAATCCAGAATGATTTGGGTTTCTTAACAAAGGAGAAACTGAACACATGTTTATGGTGTGGCAGAGTAGGGAAAAGCTAATGCAGTTTTTTGATATACAAGTAGAAATAAACTGAAACTGGAAGGTGATTTTTCCCTCTTTTTAGAACACAATGTTGAGATAAAGATTGAAATAACATATATGTAAGAATGTAAAAAAAATAGAGGGAAGACATAAACACTATGTATGCATGCAGCATGGAGAAAATTATTTCCAAGACAAGACAGGTTCTTGACAAACTGTTTTGTTTATGAACAACTAGGTAGAACAATCTTCATAAGAAGAAAGCAGTGAATAAACCTTTTTTTGGCATAACAGACAAACATAAATCAAGGACAAATCGCTATAGTCTTAAGCCAAAAAAACACAAGCGAGAAGGCATAAATGCAACAGTATTCATAGTTACCTACTGGAACTCACTTCTATGGAAAATGGGTTAAATGTAGAAGGCCTAAAAACATCAAACTTCCAATATCTTCAGAGAAAGACTGAGTGGTTCTCTGGGTGCTACTCTTTAACCACAGGCAACCGGAAGACATCGTGATTGAAGAAAGAGCATGGACATAAGGCCTATGCATGCACGTTCACCTCTTGAACAGATCCCACACTTCAAAGGTTACATTTGCTTCTCTTTAATTATCCAGATGTTCTATGCATAAATAGGCAAAACTATATGGATTTGGGGGAAACTGGAAATCCAAGGGAAGGAAAACGGAGGAGAAATGGAACAATTATGGAGCATAATTGTTACACGTCAAAGAACAAGAGGATGGCATCTTTTAACATCCCCCAGTGTAAGAAAGGTTCATTTCTGCTTTACTTCCCAGAAGAATTACACTTACTTATTTCACATCAGATATATTAAAAATAAATTTTAAAAAAAAAAAAAAAAAAAAGGATTGCAGGGGAAACAGACACTTCCTACAACTGGAGGAAAATGAAAATGACAGAGACCTTGCCATACAGGGCGCTGATCTTGACTGGATGAAGAGAAATGGGGAGGACATTTGAACCTCTGATATTAGAGCAACTCCTAAACAAGGAGAAGATGACAGCTCAGGAGAATACGTAAGTGCTTGTAGAGAGAGGAAATCTAGAATGGCAAAAGTAAGTAATGAACGGACACAGAATCCTTAGAGCAGAATAAATGTGGATATGAATACAGCTCATGACAAGTAGAAGTGAAATGGGGATACTGGTAGTCTGGAGTCCTAATGGGAAACCTATAGAACCTACTTCCATCAGGGTTATGGTGTTTCATAAGTCGAGTATGCCAGGAATATTCACACAGCTTATTATTTGGGATCTTTTGATGAGTAATGACTCATTAAAACAATTTCTCAAGAGCTTTGAGTTCTGAGTCTATCTATAAACACTCCAAGATCTTCATACTACCCCTAACAACGTTCAACTGATAGCCTGTATGTGACAGGTAAAGGCGGAAAGCTATTTTCTTCTCAAGAGAATCAGAAAGCAGAGCTTAAGGTACTGATACTGCTGTAAATTCTGCCTTCTGCAGTTAAAGAAAATGTTTAGCAAAAGGAATTATTGATGTCCGTATGTTCTTCAAGAAACAAAATAACTGTCAAAAGAGCTATTAAAAGTCTTATATTTTCCTTTCTCTTCTCTTCATCCTTCCTGCCTTTTCCCCATTTTCTTACCTTAAAATACATAATTCTGCCATTTCTCTTCTGCTTTCTGCAGCTTAATTCAACTCCCTTGCACCAAAAGTTTCTTTCAACAGCTAGTAAGACCTTTGTTATTCTCTCTTCTCTTAATGCCTTCTGTATGTCTCTTTTTCTTATGTTGTCTCCATAAAGTTACGAAATAACTGTCCTGTTTGTGAAGTTTGATCACGTTATAGAGCAAATGAACTTCAGCCACAGTAGCATTGACCCAGTATCTCACATTGAGGCACCTGAGTGGAAGATGAGCCCAAAGCTCTAGTATTATAAGCCAGTCAGCCTCAGACATACAGCATAAGCAGATGGTCAGTTGTATTAAATCATATTCCACTACTTCAATGTTGTTACCTAACCAGTTCTAAGTCTAACAAAGAGATAATGTCGAATGAAAAAATTAAGATTTTTAATTCCACCTAAGCATTTGATCACATTATTCCTATGGGTTGCTCTTATGCAGCAGCTGACAGAAGCATTAGCTACTTCAACTTACTGGCATATCAGCTGTCTCAAGATAGCTCTCAATTATTTTCTCTTTCCATTAACACCTCTGTTATTATGCTCAGGTTTCAAAGTTTGGTCCCAGAAATTGCATCTATCAGTTAGTAAAATACACTATTATGAACACAAAAAGATTTTCCAGGTGACCTTCAACCTTCAGTGTGAACAAAAAAAAAGTCTTATTGGCATTTTTGATACAAGAAACTCCTAAATTTCACCACTTCCTCAACCCCTTCATTCATCAGTTTCACCTCAGTAAAACGTGTCAAATAAAGGCTAACATTTTGATTAATATGGCAAAGCAAAATAAAAAAGCACTAAGCCTTTTTAAATGAAGTTATTAAATCCAAGACAAATATTAACTATCAGACAATTACATTTGAAAGCATTT